CTACGGTATGCTATTCAGCTCCAATTCATGTGCTTGGCGAAGCCATCTCCTGATGGTGCACCCCCGGTGTTGTACTACTACGTGACCAAGTCGGTCCGGGTCATCTTTTCGACGTCGCCCTTGGAGAAGGACGAGAGGATGAGGGTGGAACGGACGGAACAGGTTATCCCGCCGCCTTCCGGGGCTTCCGGGGTGCAAGTTGAGCGAGGAAAGAGGCGGTCATCCGGAGGGCTGGTGGTGGATACTGTGGAGGAGGAGTGGAATATCATCAGGGCAGATTGGGAGATGCTCGAAGAAGGCAGGAGGGCTGTTGGTTGCATCGCACCGCTGAACAGAGTGTCCCCCCGGTCTCCCCTCGTACCCCTTCCCCCATCTACATCCACTCTTTCCAAATCAAGACCATCCACTCCAAACCCAATCACATCCCCCCTCACACCCACATCACAACTACCGCTGCTGCCTGTCTCCTCCATCATTACGCCGCCAAAGGTCACCTCGAAGGGCGCACAGGCGGTGACAGTCTGGAGTCCGACAGGACGGAGAGCGAGGAGGGAGGATGAGATGGAAGAAAAGGCGTTGAGTGAAAAGTTGAGGCGGATGGAAATGGAGAAGAGTAGAGTGGGCGAGCGGGGGGTGTGAGCTGGGGGGATAGACTATAGAGTTGAATGAGTAGAGTGTTGTTGTATCATTAGATGCACGGTATGTTTTGATTGTCTGCATGTAAGCCCGGCGCGAGGTCGACATGAGCGTTTGCATAGACATTGATTGACCCGGGGCACCGAGGCTGACGAGGTGATATATTGCCTTGTTCTGTTGCTTATACTTGCGCGGTCGTCAAGGTCTCAGAACATGTCACCTGTATCATCCTGTGATTGTCACTTTTCCAGTGAGATCCGTGGCCTTTTCTGGCTTGGTGCTGGTGGCTGGTGACTACTCGCAGTACTAGCCCAAAACCCAAAGACCCAAAGATCCCAAAGGCACTTCCAAATTCAGCGCTTCCAGACTCTGGTCCTCCCGATACCGCTCTTCGCTCTCTTCGCTCTGCTTCTGCTTCTGGCCTCTGGCCTGAGCCTCTGGCTGCTTTCGGCTTCTGGGGCATTTGGCTTTTGGATAGTGCAGATAGTGTCAGCTTGAACAGCCCGAGTCTCGGTCAGTCAGCCGCCTTGCACTTTCTATATATACTCTAAGCAGACCGACTGGCCGACCAATGGCCTTGTTGGATTGTATCAGCAGGCTGACCCACACATGCATCGTCTCACAGATCACAAGTCGTGAGTCAAAGGCCGATCGAAATCAATCGCAAAGTACTGTATGACCATCATCTGGACCCCGCAGCATGCAGATCACAAGATTCCGAGAAAGAAGACTGCGCTGCCAACTGCGCGCGGCGCCGCTGCACCAAATATCCCATTGAATGGTGCCCTGGCGTCGTCGATGTCGACAATGTCGACGACCGGGGATTCGGCGAGAGAAACTTGCGCTAATAAAGAAGGTGAGACTTGAGAGTGGTCGTCGCTGCATGAGGGCGCATGGTACTGTTGTGTCGAAGTTGTACGTAGATTGTGGATTGTAGAAGTGTGATACAAGATGGACAAGTCTTGTCGGTGTTGGGACGTTCTTCCAAACATACTGCATAGCATGACTATTACTTTTTGCCGCGTCTGACTACTTGTGTACTTTCATCCGGCCCCTTCCGCTATAACTGGTGTCTTGTCTCTCACTGTAGGACCCAGTAGCCAGTCTACACCCCACACTGGCCAACTTGTAGTGCTGATTATCTTGTAGCTTGATTCCTACGCGAACTCATCGAGCCAGCTATTAATGTTTTCGAGGGCCTCGAGGGTTATCTACATGGTGAATCTGAGATCCGAAGTCGGACCGGAGGAAGAGAAGGAGGATCAGATCGTCGCTGCTTGTTTGGCAGTGCAGACCGCTTTAAAGACCCACATGTACTATCATCGCTTCACAGCGAGCTCTGTAGGGACTGCCAGGGCTCGTAGATATGCCCGACCAGACATGCGATGGAAGGAAGAATGTTTGCAGTGTAGCGGTTGAATGATGCGGGTGGTTGTTGCGCTGATCACCGCCGAATCTGACGCCGCACCAGAAGAGAAAGAAGCTTAATGGGAGATACGCCTTGGCATCCATCGACATGCACGCTGCACGCTGTACTGGCGGTGCTGCATGCATGGCAGCATGGGGCAGGGGGCATGGATGCGGTGTATGCATGGGGGGGGGGCATGCATGCCGAGTGTTGATACGGCCGTATTGTGCCGTGCCCTGTGTCCCTGAGATAACCATCTGAGAGGCGGGAAGCGGTATGAGAAATCCAGGGTCGCACCAGATACCGTCAGCCAGATGCAGCACCGTACAAATACTCAAACATCCATATCTCTTTCTCATCTTCATCTCTCTTCCCCCCTCTACTCCCCCCCACGCACACGCTGCACCCCCCTCTCCCCCCACCCCACGTTGGTTGCATCTGTCAGTGTCGCTGTGTGCAACATCACTAACACTCTGCCCAGTTTTCCGTCTCTTGTCTGCCCTCGGCCTCGGCTGTCGTCTCCCAGCACCACGCCCCCCTTGCATCGTCCCTGTGAGTGCCATGCCATTCCAGCGTTCCAGCGGCGTTCCTGCGCAACGAGAGTGCCCAGCCACGATATATCTTCTGTTTGTTTTCGCTGACCTCCTCCCCCATAGAAATCAGCCATATCAATCATGTACGGCCAAATCCTCCTCCCCGCCCTCTCCCTCCTCACTCTCGCCGCCGCCGCTCCTCTGGACGAATCATGGCTCCAACCGAGAGACTCGGACATTGCCCTTCTCTTCAAGAGAGATGCACCAAACTATGATGCTGACAGTAAGCCTTGGCAACCCCTACCCCAAGCCCCTGTAACTGACACGCCCCGTCAGACTACACCCTCTACTATCCGGATGCCTGGACGACACCCAACAGCACCGTCATCCCCCAAGCTTGGCTCGACAAGCTCGCCAACCTCACCATGCCCAACGTTTCGGTCGCTACCATGTCGGGCGACCGGCCCACCTACCCCAACAACGAGGATGACGGGGACAGCACTATCTGCTCGTTCACCGACCAGTGCGTCGTGGACGACGACTTGTATGTCCCTTCTGGGGAAAAGGTGTTTGCGGTGAGTAACCTGTCGGTGCCTCGTGTCCTTTATCGCTGATATGGGCGCAGCTCTCATTCGACGATGGACCTACCGACGTTTCCGAGGACCTCTATGCGTTCTTGGCCGAGAACAATGCTTCAGCCAAGGCGACTCATTTCATGATCGGTGGTAACGTTGTCACTGCGTGAGTCGTCGCCCATTTGCGTTGGTATCCAGCGACGGTGCTAATACATCCGCAGTCCCCAAACGGTCCTCACCGCTGTCAAGGCCGGTGGCCACCTTGCCGTTCACACCTGGACCCACCCTTACAGTGCGTCCATCCCTCCAACCTCTTGTCCCGAGCTGACTATCTGTGCAGTGACCACCCTGTCCAACGAAGACGTTGTCGGCGAACTCGGCTGGACTATCCAAGCTCTCGCAGACCTCAACGGCGGCCGTATTCCCAAGTTCTGGCGACCTCCTTATGGCGATGTCGATAACCGTGTGCGCGCTATCGCCAAGGGCGTCTTTGGTCTCGAAACCGTTCTCTGGAACGAAGACACCAACGACTGGGCTATCGCCGACGAGCCCGACAAGTACTCCATCTCGAGCGTCGATTCCACCTTTGACGCCTGGATCACCGGCAACCGTACCGAACCCCTCCTCTTGCTCGAACACGAGCTCGACAACAATACCGTCACCGTCTTTAAAGACACGTTCCCCAAATTCGCCGCCAATGGATGGACCGTGATGAATGTCGCCGAGGCGTTCAACTTGACGTGGTATGTCAACTCTGGCGAGGGCAATACCGATACGGTCACGACAATGAGTGTGGCGGGGACTTTGACGACGGCGAGTACGTCGAGCACGAGTAGTGCGGTATCGACGACGGCGGCGTCGGGGTCGGTGACTGGGTCGGCGAGTGGGACGGGGGCGAGTACGGCGGCTGCTAATGCCAGCTCGTGGGGTATCACCAACAAGCCCTCGCTTGTCGCCCTGTTGGGTTCTCTCGTCGCCTCTGCCCTCTTCTTGTAAAAGTCGAGCCTACCGTAGTGGTTTCCTGCCTTCTTTTCTCTCTCATCGTGTGGATACGTACCAAGCCATGGGCCCTGTCATAATTGTAGCACCAAGGACACTTTTCTATAATCGTTACCTACATAGATCTTATATACTGTATACTTTGGACATTCTTCCATGGAACTCTCCCGTTCTAGTTATATATATGGACACTTGATACATGCAAAGTGGCATATCGCCTTTATGGGAGGTGTTTTGTGGACATGGAGACTTTTGAATATCCTCCCCCTCATATATCTTCAATGACTCAATGAGGGACATTGAGTGTTTGTTCATCTTCTTTCACCAGCACTGAACGCACATACCGACATTGCGCAAAATTACTAATAGGGGCAAAGCGTACCCTTCAAACATCAAATGCTCTGTGTTCAAGTTGGTTACGGCGTCCGACTGTTAAAACCCCCACTTTCTTTGCGTGTTTGCGTAATAATCGGTAGACTCGACGAGTTTTGAGGTACACTAAGGAGCGGAGATGCATTATCGCTGCGAAAGCGGCGGAAGATGGGTGAACGGAGTGTCAAGCGAGTTGGTAGAGAAGACGGGTATCCTTTGCAGGGGGCGATCACGTTTGAGTGCAGTTGCAAGTTATCCCCAAAGCTACGTAGCTTTGCCTTAGTGGGGGACCGGTCGCCGGTATGGAGTACGGGTAGTCATGCCAGATATCAAATGCTCTGTGGCTAAATTGGTTACGGCGTCCGACTGTTGAATCCCACACTTTCACCATCAAGCAGCTTAGTACCGCGCTGGGTGTGCACCGAATACCACATCATGTTTGCTTATATATAACATATGTTCCAAGTATATATCGAATGCTCTGTGGCTAAGTTGGTTACGGCGTCCGACTGTTAAAACCACACTTCCAAGCGGAGTCAAGAAACCATCGGAAGATCGTGAGTTCGACCCTCACCGGAGCAGATTCTTTTTGTCTTTTTTCCTCGCTATCCTCCTATGCATTCTCTATTTTTTTTGGTATCTGTAGAAAGCTCTGCTTCTGACCTACATTTTGGTATTTTTTCCTCAGCGATATGATGTGTGTGGCGCCGACAGTGAACGCTTGAACACAAGGGGGTATATAGGTGGGCGATGGTTTTTGTGGCATTTGATCAAGGAAGGGATTGTACCTCCACTTGCTCACTCATTGCTGGCTGCTATACCGCTATAGCTGCCCTTGAACTTCAGCCCTTAGCTGCGGTCGATGTAGTATAAGGAGGCAGACCCAATCGATATGCGGAGAGATGGGCGATGGTCTCGACACGCAAGGTGTGCTGAGGCGATGTGACGAGTGGACTGTGTATTGACCAGAGGCTGCTGCCAGACGACACAATGCTGGGGTATGAAACAGTACCATAGATCACATTATGCACATTATAGAGCTTGGTCCAGCCAGGGTCTGAGAGGTCGCCATACAAAATACCAAGGAACAATGATGATAGCTGGTCTCTCGGGTATATACAAATAAGCAAGAATTAGACCCTAGTACCCACAAAGTCGAAAGATGAGGTATAAAACGCAGCCGACAAACCGAAGGGCTGACAGTCCCAACACAGCATAAAAGATGACGGTCTGCAACGATAATGTCAGCATGGCTTGCTGGATTCAAAAAGGCAAAACTGACCAAGTAAGAGTTACAGGTCGTGTCGGTAGCTTCAACAAAGTGAGAATTGACCCAGTTGGTAAAGGTCGACGAAGTGAATAGCAGAATGACGAGCAGGTTGCAGCCGATGAACAAAAGGACGACGTTGGTACGGAAATTGCGGTCGTCTGTCATGGCGTTAGACATGCCTCAATACCTTGCAAGAAAACTCACCATCAAGCTACCTGGAGTGAGATATAAGCGGTTGAAGATGGAGGGGTATGAATTTTAGATGCCGGAGGCCACACGAGTATGTTATATAGAGCCTGTTGCCGGATCGACTCTGCTTGAGCGAAGTACTGCAACACAGAAGACTTAGAGGACGTCAAGACTCTAATCTTGTGCTATCCCAGCGAATACGGGCTTGATATGCCATAGGGAGATTTACCAAAAGGCAGGGGCATGATCTCTTCCCGCAAAAGATGTGCCAAGACTCATTATTGTGGCCGATAACTGGGGCGATGGGATTTCCAGATAGTACACCACGAAATCCATAGCCAGGCAGCACTTCACATTCATGCATATATTCGTAGCAGAGACATGGCCAGTCTAGCTGGCTGTTTTGGAACCGAAAGCATCTTCCACCCTTTCTCTAGTCACTTGCAGCCTCGTAGAATTGTTCACAGCTGTACTTGTAAGTTCGTTACTGACAAGATATGAAAGAGAGTAGGAAAATCTAGAATATCAATGAGGAATGAGTTCCCCTTGAACCGCACATGTTTCTCAATATCTCGGGCTGTTCGGCTGCCCGAACGGGTTGCCAGAGCCATACCCTCCCGAATAACTCGACCTCGCCATATGCCCACCTCCATGTCCCCCGCCATGCCCCGGGCCAGGCCCCTGGGTTGGCCCCTGCTGACCCGACTGCTGATACCCAAACACCTGAGTCGGCTGTAGCGGCGTATACAACATGCCCATCCCGCCGTCTCTCTGGTCAAACGCGTCAAAAGACTGGCCTGTGCCGCCGGCAGAGGGTCCGCTGGTGGTAGCAGCAACGGGAGGGTAGGTCGGAAGGCCGTAACCACGAGCAGTGGTCGAGTTGGGGTTGCTCCCGCTTCCTCCGGCAGAAGAACCCGCCGAGAGCGGAGGGTCATAGTCGCTCGTCGGGCGGGGCCGGTAGTCGGAGGGGTTGGGAGGGGATATACCGATGTGAGGCTGCATCTGGTACTGACCCGATGGGTTCTGGCGATGGTGTCCGCTGGTATGCTGGGGGTGGTGGCCTTGAGGCGGATGGTGATGCCCCGAATGAGGAGGATACGGCAACCAGTTCTGCCCCTGCATGGCAGCCAACTCGGCTTGCTCTTGCAGATACTCTAGCTGCTGGTACGCCGGCCCAGCAATTGAGTTTTGTTTACTATGGCCCATTCCACCTTGATGCCTCCGCTCCCATTCCCTCATTGCTTCGTCTCGGTTCATAACGGGCGTCAACGTGTTTCTAGACCCGTTGGGATCCTGAGCACCAAAGTGTACCAGACGAGCAAGAGCCGGTGGTATAGCGTCCATCTGGTTGATGGTGTTTGCTCTCGTACGTGACGAGGGGTAGTAAGAGTTGGGCGGAGGGTTGGAGACGATCGGGGGTGGCGGAGGTGGCTGCTGTGCGCCACGCAATGATGCGTGAGAAGCAGAACTGCTGAGGGAAGGGATTCGCTGCTGCTGGTACCCATGAGAAGGCGGCATCGACCATTGCCCGCTCTGCCTCGACTGGTGCCCAGACTGCATCGGAGGCTGCTGGTTTGTCGGCGGCAATTGCTGACTAGCCACCCTCTGATGCCCGTACCCGGCATTGACCGGCTGCCCAGGGGACAGCTGGTACCCAGGCGAGAATGGTCCGCGACTCGCGGCCTCCTGAGCAGCTTGCTGCTGCTGCTGCACTGAAGCAGTGTAAGATTGGTGTTGAGCGAGCTGCTGGTTGTAGGCCGCAGCGTCCGAATAGACACGTTGGGAACGAGAGCTCTGGGGCGTCTGGACGAGGCCGCCATACTTTTTATTGGGAGTGGAGGATGAAGAGGAGGCAGGTTGAACCTCGGGAGAAGGAGCGGGCTTCTTGGTCGTAGTAGTGGTATCAGGCTACGCGAATCAGCCTCAACCCTTAGACCACCTGATTGACTTACCTTCCAAGAGCCAGTCCACTTTTCGCCCGTGATGAAGGGATGCTTCATGGCCTGCTGGGGTGACCACCTCTTGATCGGGTCCATATTCAAGAGACCCTCAGCAAAGTCTACGAACGACTTTCGCGTCGCGATTTCTACGCCCAATCAGCTAGGCCAACTTTCGACAAATACCACTCACCCTTGTTGACATCGCTCTTCTTGCCCATAGGATACTCCATGATGATATCCTTCAACTTGGTCTGCTTGAAATACTGCTTGCTCGGCTGCTCATCCGTGCGATGCTCGACCGCATACTGCTGCATCGGCTTGAGCTTGTAGACATTCCGCCCATACCCGTCCGTCGTCCTGTTGAAAAACTCGTGTGTCTGCTTGCCCACTTCGAGCAGATGCGTCGGCGGGTTTCCAAGCATGTCGACGATACGGCTGATCTGGTTGTACTCGCTCGTCCCCGGGAAGAGCGGCAGTCCCAAAAAGAGCTCGACGACGATACAGCCGAGAGACCACATGTCGATAGAGGTCGAGTAGGGGAGGCCGAGGAGGACTTCGGGGGAGCGGTAGAATCGGGATTGGATATAGGTGTAGACGGTCTGCATCTCGTGGCAGGCCGAGCCAAAGTCGATGACCTTGATCTGGGGCGATTGCAGACTACTCCATTAGCCCGACTCGGCGCGACTGTCGACTCACGATTTCAACAAGATATTCTCAGGCTTGAGATCGCAATGAATCAACCTCGCCTCCTTCAACACCGCCATACAATCCAACAACTGCTGCGTAAACACCTTGACCAACTGCGTGCTCAGCCCTTTGAACTGGTTCTGCTTGATGAGCTCGTAGAGGTTGGACGAGAGGCACTCGAACACGAGACAGAGATGGTGCTTGTGGGTAAAGGAATCTTGCATCCGGAGGATGTGGTGTTGGTCTTGCGGGTCATGTTGGGTATTGAGCTGTACCTCGTTAGCTGTATTCAAAAGAGCGGGGAGCACGCACCAATTCCAAAATAGCCACCTCCATCTTACTCTGCTGCAAGTACGCCGGCTTGTTCTTGACGACCTTGACCGCGCAAATCTCATGCGTCCTCATATTCTGGCACTTGACCACCTGTCCAAACGTCCCCTGCCCGAGCACATCCAGAATGATATATCGATCCCTGCCATCCTCTCCACCGAGAACATCATTGACATAGAGTATATAGTCCCAGTCTTCATTGTCTGCGCCGTCATTGTGTGCGGGCTTGGACGGCTTGGTGAGGACTCGCCTGGGGTTGTCGGAGGTGACGTAGCGGAAATTGGGGTTGGAAAGGGTATACGTCTCGGCAAGGCCCGTTGTGAGGCACTTGAGAGGCTGCAAGGGAATCAGTCAAGACCAAAGCTGGGGACAAGCAAACTCACACTCAAAAACTTGCCGGGACAATCCGGGTCCGCCCTCCTCCCATTCGGCTGACTATTGACAACAGCCTTTAAATCGCTCCACCCCTTCACCTCCCTGAACCCAGCTTCGCTCCCTGCCCCAGTACTCGCACTCCGGCTCATCATCCCGCTCCCCGTCGTGCCGGTGTTCGTGCTAAAGCTGCTAGCGCCCGACGTCGTCCTAGGGGGGACAATCTTGGGCGGGGGCATGGAGGGGTCGTACTTGCCTGCCGGGGTGACGGGCTGGGAAGAGGGATAGAGCTGGGTTGAGGGGGTCAGGGAGGGGGTATGGGTAGTGGAGATGGGCCGGGTGCCGGTAGGCGGCGGACGCCCGCCGACGGGGGAGGCCTGGGGCCGAGAGCCAGCATTGTAGCGAGGGGAAGAAGGCGCCTGTTGCGGCTGATTTATCTGCGGAGGAGCATGGATAGCAGGCGACGTCGTCCAGTGGCTCTGAGAGCTCGGCGATGCAGCGTCGTAAGGGTTGAGCAACGGCGAGTGGAGCGGGCTCTGCTCGTGAGTGTCTTTTGCAGAGAGGTAAGGGCTCAGGCCCCCCGAGCCATGGGAAGCGAAAGAGCTGGTGGACGTCATGCGAGTCTGGCTCGGCCTGCGGTAGTCTGTCCATTGCGCTCCACTAGCAGCTGATGGGTGGTAAGGGTCCACCGGAGGCGGCGCCGTGCTCGCTACACCAGCCGACGGCCCAGGATCAGATGAACGCGAGGGGATGTAGGGGTTGTGGGGATGCGTATATGGTGAAGCCCCTTGCTG